GTGTATATATATATATATATATATATATATATATAAACTTACTTCTCATAAGCATCGCTCCACTTAAAACTTAAAAACGTTAAGTTGACAGGTTGCGCTTTATTTTCATCATGCTTAAAATCGTAAAACGGAATTCATTTCAAGCATTCAACTTGGCAACCCCTTAAAACTCTAAACTGGGGCCGTCGGCATCCGTCCCCCGGCATCATTTCCACTTCTAAATTCTATATTTTCTGTTTCAGGTAGCAAAAATCCGTGCCTGGAGGGCTGTGAAAGAAAATTTAAAGCCTCTGAAAAGGTGTGTTGAACATTATAACTGAAATAAAAAGAGAATAAATAAATTGCAACCTACTGTCCTTTCTTTTCTATTTGTAAGGATCCTTAAGATTTTTATTCTTCTGTTTATTTTTTTTTTTAAATAAGAGAAATATATAAGCGTAAGTAAGAACGCACAAATATATGTGTGTTATCTTTATCCAGCTGTCATTTTGGATTCCGTTCATAAAAGGTTATTGTTACATGGACAAGGCCAAAGGTTGATGATGTGAATGTCCCTAGGATCAATAAAATAGATCAATTTGACTTGGCCAATTGTGTTGAAACCTGTTTGTTTACAGAAGCCAATTGTGTTATTAGTAATTAATTGCCTGGATTATTAATTTTAGTTTTAAGCCAGTTGGGTTTAACGAACGCTTTGTGTAAATGTACTCGTTTCACTATGTTCGCGAATGTTGTTTCTTCTTTTATGAAACATTGCCCGTTGAAAGTAATTGTAAGAATTTGAGTTAAAAAAAGCATTATCCTGCAGTGTATTGTTCATCGCGAAACAGAGGATTAACGTTGTTGTAAAATATTTTTCCAAGTTACGCCCCCGAGACATTCGTACGTTCCGGATGATAAACAGGGTTGTTTATCCTCATCCTGGCCCAGACAAATGAAGGGGTGTTGGCTGAGACAGGCATCAGGCATTCATAATAAACCCTGCCTTCACACTAGCGAGAAGATAAGTCGGAGTAATCACTCTGTTTCGCGATAAATATTAATTCCTCTTAATTAAGACATCCTATCATCCATACAACCTATCCTTAAAGGAATAACTCGGCGGATGGGGGTGGGACTGTTGTGGAAGTTATTGCGCCCTCTTAGGGCATCCTTCACCGTGGCAAAAGCTCCCTCTTTCTCTGACACTTTCGTCTCTGGGACTTCTTATCTCGGAGTAATAATTTGATGGACTTATCTTCCGACGGGTTTACATCGTCTTTGCTTCCTGATTAACAGCCGGGCCGAGAACATTAGCCAACAACAACACGGCTTCTACAATTTTTCTGCCTTATTCAGTTAATAAAAATGGACTGTTCAGATGCATTTTTCTTTAATTTTCTTGCAATATCTGCAGTAGATGGACTATTCAGTACTTGGATACCTCAAAGTTACATCATCTGGGTTCCCGACGCATTACCACTTATAATATTTAATAATAGATATAGTAAAATAAGTTTGACATGTTTTTATGCCTCGTACTAAATGGAATATCTTCTCGAATGAAAAATCGATGCTTTTATAAATCTTTGCGGCCAGCTGTTTTGAAATTGCTAAAGTTGAAAATGCTAATTTGAACTTTGCTAATGTTCGACTAAACCCAGCAGAAGATTCGGACGATCCCTGCATTTTGCTCAATAATCGCTGTTTACATAGGTCTAGCTCCGTTTTAATAGGATCAATGCTAATCTTCATCTTCAACCCCTGATGGTATGGTATGGTAAAAAAGGATTCTAGGAAGCGGGATTTGCGCTCCCCAAGCACTGCAGCCTTCTGGTTTATTGTACCTTCCTAGTTCCTTAGTTCAGTGCAATAGACTCAATCCTTCTCCTTATCAGGACATCGATTGTCGCTGCTGCAATTTGATTCCCTAAGTTTTCTTACGTTAGGTTAAATCTCCATTGAGCTGTTGCTTCGCATTCGAAGACGATATGAGTGGCTGTTTCCTCCTCCTCATTACATAATCTGCAAATGGGATCATCCTTGTATATACCCATGTTGTATAGATGTTTTCTCAGATCAAATCCCTCTCTAATTACAGCAGTGCTTTTGCCAGCCTTGTTGACGGTTGTTTCATCATAAGTTTATCATAGGTTTACTATGTCTAGCGCCGCTAGAGTTTATCCACTTGTCTTTTTGTTTTGTTTGGATCCATTTTGCGATGGAGGGTTCTATATTTGTTCTTGTTATCCCAAGAATAGGTTCCGGGCCTATGTATGGTCTTGCAGATCCTCCTCTGGCCAGACTGTCTGCTTTGTCCTTACCCAAAATTCTCTTGTGCCCTGGTACCCAAGATATCATCAGGTTGTTAGGTTTCCCCAGGGTTTGGAGATTTTGGATGTATTCACTGACTAATTTTGATGTGATTCTTTTACATGCTAATGCTTTATTCGCTGCTTGGCTATCAGATCTTATAAGGATTTTTTTGTCAGTGTAACCTCTTTTAAGATTTTCCAGGGCACAAGCATTGATGGCATGTATTTCTGCTTGAAAGACCGAAGTGCCCTTCCCTAATGAGTTTGATTGCTCATGTTTTGGGCTTGTAGAGAAATTGCCCGATCCGGTTCTTCCTTTGTTTTCGAGCCATCTGTGTACCATATCATTGTATCTGATGCTCTCCTGTGTTCTTCCTCTCCTTTGTAGTCCGTTGAGACTTTATAGGAAGTTGTGAGGATTGTTTCCGGGATCATATAATCAGTCCATATTTCTAATAATGGTTGTCTGATTTTGTTGATTTTGATTGTATACCCGGATTTTCTTGTTCCCTTCCAATTTAATTGTTTCTGGAGTCTAAGTGAGCTTTTCCTAGCCTCTACTTGTGTGAATATACCCATGATTACCTTCGTGATTTGTAGTCCACCCAGTATCTTCTTTGGTAAAATATCTCGTCGCGAAACGAAGACACCTATTTGCCCTGTGCTCTTTGGCATCACACCAAGTGCGAAAAATCGTAGATTAAGTATGTCCTCGGTTAAATGGGATTGTATTTCCAGTTTATCCAAGAAACCGAATATTTGTATAGAATGACTAGAATATTAGGACTGCTGACTTCACACTGCAGATTTAGAGGCATGTATATGTAAGTTCTGTGTGTGATATACTGCGCCCTTTGAGAGCTATTGTATCTCCCGTTCTGTACCTATAGCACACCGGTGAATCCTGGTTCATCAAGGACTTTGATTAGTATTTTTTATTCAGTGGTTGAATTTCTTCTAAGATTACTTCACCCTGCGGGCAAATGTGGCTCCACAGTGTGTTGGTGTCTCCTCAGGTTCTTTGCAGAATCTCCACGTGACGTATTGGGTTATACCAATCTTAATCAGATGCCCATTCAGTTTGGATGTCCTGTCAGGATTCGAAGTTTTTTCCTGCTTCCTCTGATGCATTGTGTTGTTTCTTTCCTTACAAAATTTGCATCTCTCAATTGCAAGGATATAGTCTTTGATCGATACCCGGAATAAACACATTAAATAATCTGAGTTCACGCAGAGCACACTTCTCAAATCTGATCTTTAGGATTAGACTGGTGGGGACCACAGGCCGGTTATTCTTTCACCTCTTCTTTACTGCTGCCTGTACTAAAGATACTGACAACATTGAAGTATCTTTATATATATATTGAATACCACAAGCAGATGTTACCAGGAAGAAGACCAAACCGCGGGACATGTCCTCTGTTGTTAGTAATGCCATTCTGCCTCTAAACGAGAATATTCGAGGCTTCAAGGTTGCACACGAGAGCCCTTAACATAAAGTTCGGATAAGGTGAAAAGCTTTGAACTTAATGAAGAGTTCGAGACAATGACTGTGATGGCACAATAAGCCAATATGGATGGGACCTTACATAGACATTCCAGTCCAAACTTGAATCTTGTACGTTAGCTTCTCTAAACCTCCTCTGTGCCGTCATAGCACTAAATTAACCTTGGATTCACCCGAAAATAAGTTTTAATCCGGATAATTTTTGTGATTATTTGCAAAAATTAACCGATAAGTTGTGCGTTTTGTCTAAACTTTTGGACAAATGGCAGGCAGGCTCATGTGAAATCCAGCTTCAAAAAATCTAGCCCCTTTAAAACAAAAAATTGAAAATCCTTTTTCTTTTAAATATGTACAATATTATAAACAGACTGGTAGATTTTTCCGAGATGCAGGTGATTTATGATCATTGACGCCCATTAATGTCGTTTTTATGTTATAATTAAATTTCTACAAGGCACCTATTGCATTGTCTCATTATATTTTATACGCTGCGCGGTTATGTTTGATTTTTATCATTTGGGTCATAAAAATGTGAAAAAAGTTTAATACTTCTAGCCATAGAGAGGCGGTTTTTTATGTCCATACATAACGCGCATCGATCGGGTCAGAATCTCACTTTAACAAAAACCTTGTCTACCATTTAAAAAGTGGGAGTTTACTGAGATAATCCTCGTATGATTGCATTAGAAACCATTCCAGCCTTGGTCAAATAAAGATGCGATTTAATAAGAAAAGTTTGCACAGGATTTGCCAAGTTTTCCACCCCGTCCTTTTCCGATTCAGATCTTACAAAAAAATTAAATTATCCGAACGATCAGGCCCGGTTTTCCCTATTTGTCGGATGAGCAACAGGTTGGACAAGGCGCTTCATTATCAGACCGGATAGTCTTGCCGCACCGGATGAGTGGTTATCCCTAGGCGAAATATCGGCCGGAATAAAAAACAACCGGAGATAGCCCAGAAGGAGATGAGTAATAACACGGGCGTCCGGTAACACAGCATCAGTTCATCCCGCCTGTAATTACGTCGCACGGGTCCTATCTCCTGAAGTATTAGTCAACGGGGAAGGACATTTGTTCTGGACGCGGGTCTTCTCGGTTATTTTACCTCCGCCCAAGCCGAATTTATCAGTACGAACCTCATATTCTGTAGATTTTGAAGTTATCTCAGTTGATAAACCATTCTCCATTTATATCACAAAAATAAATATTATTTAGCAGCTAATCGATAGAAATAATTTGAGGTGGGGTAAGTCTGTCAATTCGCTTTTTGGAGAAGATTTTGTCACTTCCAAAAAGTGAAAATCACATTATGGATGTTGGATGAAAGATTTTCCATCGATATTGGGTCAGTTTCTTTTCGTGTTTACACGTGTTAAAATGGATAATTTTTGGGTTGAATGCGCAGATTTTTGCGCCACCGTTTGTACATCATCGTTTGCGCGTTACCGGAAGATGCACTGTTTTCGCCAATGTAAACAATTTTATTTATTAATAG